CCACCCGCCATCACCACCGCCAATCCCGCATCCACCCGGCCATGCCATCGCACCGCCCATCGCCACCGCCCATCGCCATCCGCCATTTCGCCACCGCCATCCCACCGCATCACCGACCGCCATCACCCACTCGCCATCACCATCGCCATAAACCCCCACCACCCGCTCCCACACCACTCACCACCGCCATCACCACCGCCATCCACCACCCGCCATCACCACCGCCATGTCCCCCACACCACCGGCCATCACCACCGCACCCACCATCACCAACCGCCATCACCACCGCCATCACCAGCCACACGCCATCACACCATACCCCCTTCATCACACCACACCTCCATCACCACCGCCAATTCACCACCGCACTCACCTCCACCATCACCACCGCCATCTCCACCGCCATACTCCACCGCCATTTCACCCCCCATCACCTACTGCCTACACACCGCCATCACCTCCGCCAACCACGGCCATCACACCGCCACACGCCATCACCACCCCACACCACCCGCCCATCACACCCGCCATCACCACCGCCATCCACCAACCGCCATCACCCACCGCCCATCCCACCACCCACATCACTATCAGCACCACCATACTTCATCATCACTATCATCACCACCTCTTCATCATCCACCACCGTTGACGACGTTCCTTCCACCACCACCCCACACTATCATCATCGTCGACACCGCGACGCCTCCACCATTTACCATCACCAGGCATCACGCATTACTTCCCACTGCGCCTCACCCTTCGACCATCGCTCACACCTCCTCCGCCGCACCAATGCACCATCCCCCTGTCCTGCGCCGCCCGTTCTTCTTCTCTCCCCCTTCCCCTCACCTCATCATTCCCCTCCTGCCACCGCCTCCGCCTCTAATTCCTCAACTTAATTCCCCCAGCATGTACTTGGAGTCGGGGCCTCGTCTCGCCCTCCTCGTTTTTGCAGGCGTCCCCGCCCCGCCCCCGCCTTTTCAAACCTCTCGAGCCGCTCCGCCCGCTGCTCGTACTGCCTCCCTCCCTCCCCTCCCCCTCCCTCCTTTCTCCTCCGCGCGTAGTTTATGTCCTCGCCCCCGTCGCTCCGGTTCATAACGCTTCTGCACGCACTCGCCTCCCGCCGCCGAACGCGGCGGGAAGGGACACGACGGTGGCGGCAGTGCGGCGGCCGTAACGAGAAGTTCAGATACGAGATCGGAACTTTTCAAAACGCTCGAGCCCTTCCGTCCCTTTGATGGCTGTTTTTTTTTCAGCTTGCGAGTCGAAAAACATTTAACTTTAGCAGTATCTTGAATGCAACTCGAAAATATGACTTCGTTGAAACCTGTTAATAAATATGAAATTTAAATGGGAATGCCCTTTCAGATTTTTTTCTGTTAAATACGGCGAATTAGTCGAGTGCTGTCAGTTTAGAAAAAAAAAATAAAAAAAAAAAAAAATTTTTTTTGTTTAAAAAAAAAAATTTTTTTACTATCATTGTGGAGATTCGGATGAAAAATAATGTATTGAATCAGGAATTGACTGATGACGTTTAGGGAAAATGAACAATGTAGCAATGAAAGATGGTGTTAATGACATTCATAGGTCGTTTAGGAAACGAATATATCTTCTAAATACTATGTCCTAAAATTAAGTACTCGCCATGAGCGTCGAAGAGTGTTTCTAAGGAATATATCCCATAAATAATTCAGCATTAACAGGCATTCA